GAACCGCTCATTAAGTCTCATTAGTAAAGGCACTTTAAATGTCAAGGTCCCATTGCAATGACCTGTATGTTACAGCTCTAAAAATGAATTTCTGTGGGAAAAGTCTGAGCTGTGCATTTAAGATGACTAGTTAAGGAATGTCATTAAGCAGTGTGCGGCAGGGAAACACAGTTTTAGTATAAAATCTACTTAATATCTTTCAATTCAACTGGAGAATATCTAGCCATTTTCACAACACAAGATTATGTTTGTGGGATCTGGTCCAGAGTTTGTCCGGAGTTGCTCTTTCACATGTGACACACAATGGGAGACGGTCAATGTCGGACGCATTCTCACCTACTGGAAATACAGTACACTTGGTTTATGTGAGGGGGGGGTGGGATTTGACAAGTTCACAGCAAGTTTGTAATGTGGCCTTAAACATCCAAACAAACTGTACCTTAAATTTGTTTGACGATATTCTGGCACTGGGTCTAAACAACTTCCCAAATCTAGTCATATGTCCAGTTAGATATCTTTATTTTAATGACCATTATGTTTTTATTATTCCAGTTTTGTGCCAGTCACATGATAAAACATCATCAACACACCCACCAGCTCAGTGTGAATACTCTGGACTATACGCTGCTGTTTTCTTACATGGACTCGCTCCTGTTTGCTCGCACATGATACTGACTTTGTACCAGGGAGCTGCCAGGGTAAAGTCTGCTTAATGTTCAGATCGACTGACTTGGACATTTGCGTTCTTACATAAAGCTCCTCTATATAGAAAGTCACTTTCGGCTTTTCCCGTTTAGGGGTCGCCACAGCAAATCATCACACTGACGACTCGCATGTTGACATTTAGCACGTGTTTTATGCCAGATGCCCTTCCTGACGCAACCCTGATTCGAACCCGGGCCACAGCGGCGAGAGCGCTGCGCCTTAACCACTAGCCTACCAGGGACTGCTATCATAAAGCTCCTTTATATAATGTCTGATAATTTTAGGGTTCCAGCGCACATCTGAAAAGGGATTCTATTACTTACAATGGTTTTGGTTTGTTTTATTAATATTCACAGTAGAAATTACGTGTAGTGCAGACCACATTAGGTTTCTGTGTGTAACACTGGGACAAGGGAAGCAAGGAAAAGCATAAATTGAGACCAGTTGTATAAACAGTTCACTCTTTGTCTGTGGCAAAAGGACACTACATAACTTTTAGCAAATCTTTAATTTACTAATACTAAGTACACCCTAGACCTGCTTCATTAAATGAGGCACAGTCCAAAAAACATATCTGTGAGTCAGAAGAATAGCATGAGGGGTCCAAGAACTATCATCATTTAATTATTGTAACTCATTGTTCTCTGGAGGCAACAGAAATAACTCAAACTGGCATAAGGCAGAAGCATCCACAGTATAAAATTACACAGAATAACGGCTATAGTAGAAAAAAAAAACCTGTGTAAAAGAATCCAGCTCCGCCTGAGTTTTCTGTCACTGCTCTAAATGAGGCAGAACAAGCAACCGCAGCAGCTTTTATTACAGCATTGGAGAAGGTCTGCTGTGGAAGACCCAGAGGCAGCGGCAATGTTTTTCTGAACACAGTAGTCTATCCCAGTACGTTCTGTTCCCACAATCTGCTGTTAGACCTTGCCCAGGACGCCAGTCTGTACACACACAAAATGTATAACCCACTGTTTCTTTCAGTAGTTGTAAATACTAGAAACAAACCCAAATGAAATATATTTATAACTCTAAACTGTAACTATGCATGCAAAGCATGCCTTTTGTAGTGTTTTTCTTCCTACTGACGAGTCAGTGACTGGAATTTGTGGAGAATATGTAACAAAGGTCAGATCAGGACACTGTGGTTAAACAACCTCCTGATATAAACCTGAAAATGTTCACACAGTGTAGAAAGAGTAGAGGTTATCTTACCTCAGCTTGTCTGAGTGTGTTGGACATTATGTACAAAGTGTTATCATACGTTGTTTAGTTTTCTGATCCACTGACCATTTCTTTTTCTTTTTTTTTTTTGTCTTCCCTGATCTGTTTCATGAAGCCTATTTCAGCTGTAGCTGTAGCCCTGAGTACCTTTTGAAGGCTGGTGTCGCACATAATCACGTAGACATATGAGATCCAACAGTGGGCAGTGGGTGATTGTTTCACTGTTAACCGCTGTGACCACAGCAGCTACTGTGCCCTGTGCACTGTCTTCTGTCTTTGGAACAACTCTGAGTACAGCTGAGGTGTGTTTCAAAAAGTCCATAACTTCCAGAAGACACTTGGAGCTGACTGTACTTATACTGTTCTCAGATTTAGTGGATTGCTTCTGTGTTGTTGAACACACACACAACAATTTTTCCTTGTCTGTTATCTCTGTCATCAACAACAAATCAGTTTTAATTCCTTGAACTTTATTTGAACGAGTACCTGCCCCACCCTGTGTCTGACCAATTAAAAACCGCTTAGTTAAACAAAACGTGTCTGTGTCCTACAAAATTCTCAATTCTTCTTCTTCTTTTCTTGCTTCTTTCTCCCTCAGCAGGACAATATAGACCGGTCATCCACTCACAGACAAGCTGACCTCATTGGTTCTCCAAGTCATCAAGGTTGGTTTTCAGTATCCAGTAAATATTGTGTGTGAGTGTGTGTGGGTTTGCTAGTGCATGTACATTAGACCTGTCAAATATTCTTGAGTTACATTGGTGTTGTTTGACTCAGAGTATATTTGGTTGTACTCTTACATCAGATTACATAAGTAGTGGGGCTGTCCTGTGATATTGCAAACATTGACTTGAGGTAATAGAAGCTTGCTGTGTACTCATTTCACTGCAGTACATTTTATACATAATATATAAAAAAAAAAAAAAAAGGAAATCTAGTAGTAAATACTAACTGGTTTGTACAATGTAGTGAGGGACTTGCTGCTCATTATCCTCCACTGCACTGGGGGGCGGGTCCAAGGAGAATATGTACAGTGTATTTGGGTCTCTTCCGCTGTAAACTTTTCAGCGGTTCAAAGGGTGATCCGCATGGACACAGGGTGCCATTATAATTACGCTGTCTATCTAATTGTGCCATTCTGGGTTCATCCATGACAATCGGAGCGTGAGATTTAAGCACAGTATTGGCCCAGCATGGGAAATGAGGGTGGGGAGTCTGCGAGGACTCAACGAGTGAATTAGAGTGCTTGGCTCTGGCATGGAAATAAATGGAGCAGAAATTACATTGTCACTTTTCAGGATCAGCCAGAATGGAGGGAGCTCAGAAGGACCAGAGAGGCAGACAAATGTAGACAGCTTTACCTAAGAAATACATTTGCTTAAACCGTTTGAATAAATAAATGAATAATGTTTTTGTACAGTAGATTAAGAAGTGTTGGGGGCTTGATTTATGAACTGTGGTACTCCATACCATTAGAGTTTTGTCAGATCTCCTTCATCTTTCTCTCATTTTTTCTTTCTTCCTCATCTAAAAGGTGATGCATTTTGACCTCTTCAGCCTCTTAAAATCCATGATATGTGTACTGCTCAGTGCCTGCATCAGCTGAGCAGAGATTTGGACTTTAGCCCAGTACGTCTGATGTTATTAGTAGGATGACAGTCCTTGCTGATGTTATTAAGCTTATTTTTCAGTAAACCCACCCATTCACTTTCTTCTTATAGTACTTTAATAAAGGCACCAGTTGTGTTTGCTCTTAAGCCACAACAGTCAAACCTCTTATTGTTACAGGCAACAACCTGTTGTTGGAACATGACCTGCTGCTATTTCCTATGTTTGGAATGAGATACTGTTGTGGAGCTTATAGGGGTATTTGCAAGCCAATATTTGATGTCTATAAATAGAAGTTGTTCCATATGATATTCTAAACATGTAATCCACAAATTGTGTAATGACCGTAATAACATAGTAGTGTGGAATTAGCTTGACCTCGAGTGTTTTTTCCACAGTTTAATGTCACACACTGGGGTGACTTCGGACTGTACAGTTGTACAACTTGCTTTGTGCACAGAGGTTGTATGAATTTGGAGATAACCCCCATATGGTATCCCAGCTCTTCAGAGGAGGTTCAGGTACACGGTAAACATAACTTCTAAGAAAGTGTAGTTTGCAGTACGTTCTCTTGCTGTCAGATATAATACTCACCAACTGCCACAAAGTTGTTATATTGTGTATTACTGTACTTTCAGTTCCACTCTGTTGCAATGATTTGCTCTTTCACCTCGCCGTACCTGTTTCAATCAGTGGATCCACTAGAGTCCTGACTTAGGCAGCATGTGTGACTGACTGACTGGCACTGTTTTGTGATTCATGCCTTATGTGACTGGTAAGCCACAGGAATTTCAAAACAACTGTCAGATATGTGTTCCTGGGATTCTGTCAGCTTACACATTTATATTCATCTGCCATGATAGCATTCGCATTATGTGTCAGTACAGCGTCGAGAACCTTGTTTTGTTCCACACTGTAGCAGACCCAGCGACGATGTCACAGTGTAGTGGACAGAGAGCGACCTTGCATGTTTGGATGTGTGGCATGACATTTGCACTGCTCTGTTTTTAGTTGGTTGTAACTCTGTGCGTCAAAGGGTCAGTGGCCAAGAGTATCAGCTAAGACCAGACTCAAGCGCTCGTCATTTAGATAGACTGGTTGTGTTTTGGTGTGCATGACTCATGTTTGCCCAACAGAAACTCCAGCAGCACACCTCAGACCCCGGCTGTCAACACAGATGTGACCGTTGTTTGTGTGTATGGAGTGTTTGGGGGGGGTCATATGGACGTGCAGCTGCTTGGCAACAAATCCCGTCAATAGTACCAATGCTGTGTAGTAATCTGACGGCGTGGCTCTGGAGGGGTTGACCAGTCATGATCTCAAGCATAGAAATGAAGTGCCCAGTTGTGCCTTTGTAGAGGGAGAGAGATATGGCACAGGCACACACACGCATGGGCATACAGCCATGGTTTGGCACACATGCGCACTTATGCTACAGTCACACACTTTCACTCATAAACAGCAAGGGACTATATTCCTGCAAAGAGTGGGGCTCTTTAAC